TTTCACTAACACTATACAGTATTTCGGTAATGTCGTTGGTGATACTAATGCTGAGATGAGATTGAGAGGTAAGGTTGAGATTAGTGGAAAAATCTTTCACGCCTTTTTGATTGCTGCAGCTTGTATTCGTGTCCACCAGAAGTATAAAAATTACCAAAACCCAAAATTGATCTTTGTGCTTCTCCTGAAAAGTTTCACACTTTATATTTTTCTTCCTTTTTTCGCTTTGTTTGCACGTTTCGTAGGGTTGTTTGGCACAACAAAAACGCGTGTGGCGCAGTGGTCGGAGGCATCCTGCGAAACACACATGGGATCGATCTCCGAGCCCATGGCCCACCATGCCATCCATCTCTCCGGGATCGGCACTTTGGTACCAAACTTGTCTGGTGGGATAGCAGCGCTGTCTCGATAAATTGCCAGGTCACCGCAAGTTATTTTAGAAGTCAGATATGTCTTCAATCTCCTCCAAACGATGCTTAGTGAAGTTGAATTCATGGCGCATCCCTCAGGGATTGATCAACGCCGAAAGCTTTATGCTTTTATCCATTATTTGCCACAACATAAAAAGAGGCAATTCCAACTATCACTTGTGTTATTTCGTTATCTGGCCTCATATAGATATTACAAAAGCTGCTGCTAGTTCAATATTTTGTTCTAGTCAAGAACGTACACAAGGTTTCTTTTTCTAGAAGCTAACTAACATTTTCGGTACCTCAGCTTTTCTTTTTCGACGTTATTTGAGGGCAGTGTAGGAGACAGTTCTGATAAACTGCAAATAGAAGAAAGCTTCCGAGATACCCGTGTTTAAACGGAGGTGTCGACTAGTATTCAACACAATCTCTTAACATAAGCTAAAGACGGACTTTGGGCAACTGGCAGACCTCATCTTAGTCCTCTGAAGATTTGTTCATCTTTTAGTAGAAATTTTAAAGGAGAGAAAATGAGAATGGACTTCTGTCCGCGAAAGCTTATTAGCAAAAGGTTCAGGATTTCTATTAACAGGCACGGGAGGGAATAGCGCAGTGGTTAGTGATGCCGTCGACCAGGAAGCAAAGGTGCTTGTTCGAACTCCTCTCAACATCCTCACATCACCTTCCTCTCATCTCCTCCAGTCCACGTAGGAACGCCCTGGGGTGACTATCTCCAGGATTGCGAAGAGAATTGACTCCATCAGCATTCTACGACATTCATATTTCTTAGCAGCAACGAAACAACGTGCAAAATGTTCCAAGACCGTTGTGGACGATAGATGCGAGGAAAAACGAATCAAGTGATGGAAGTGCTGGGATCCACACAGCAGATGTGATGACTGGTCACGTAAAAAAAAAAGACTAGAAAAACTAGTAAGCACATCGCACATTGAAATCCAGGTCATAGAGGCAAATACATTCGCCTCCAAACTATTAAACGTTTAAAGTAGCGTTACTGAGAACATGCATATAAGGTGAATCGAGTAATAAAATGCAGTTGTCATTATCACTCTGCCCACCTTTCACATTCAGAAAGAGCAGCTGTAATAAACATGTTTTGAAGGGAAACCAACGTGAGCAATGCGAAAAGACTAGGAAAGAGACGCACCAAGCTTCCTATTGCAGACTGCTGCAATAAGTTTCTCGAACAAAAAACGGTGGAAAGTACTGTGGCCGGAGCTTAATATAAGGATTTTTCTTGTTTAATGGTAGTGTTAAAGTCAACAAAATTCATATGAACTTCAAGACAGTCTTGGTTTTTCGACAAGCTAGCAGAATGTTAGTAAAGGCCTTCATTACACTTAATTTTTCCACCGTATCACGAAGATTCTTTGCCCTCTAGTTGAAATATTGGAACCATATTTGACTCGTCTGGAACAACCTTAGTTCCTCTAATCCATCCGAGAACGCTCTAGGACGGCTATCTGGCTATCTAAGAGTTCCAGGGAGAACTAACTTGATAATCTTTCAACGACATTCCTGACAAAGGCGAAAAAATTCCTAAGTAACAACCGAACCCACACTAAAGAAAAGTTCGAAGGCCAGGGACGGTGGATGCCAAGAAACTAATGGAATGGAAGAAGTGCTGGGAACAGCACAGTGTGATACAGGTGATCCTGAATCATGTACTAAAAATAATGATAATAACAACCTCCCATCTTCTCACTAAGAAAACACTAAATTGTAGGTCAATACCGAGGTAAATAGAAAGCCGATCACAGGAATTGCTGCATAAATAAGAATTATATTGCCTGGGTACAGGTCATGTAGCGCAGCAGTTAGAGATGCCCTGCAGTACAGACGAGTTCGATCTTTGCGCTCCAGGTCCACCAAGCCTTCCATCTTTCTGGGGTTCGCAAATTGGTACCAGACGTGTCTGAGTAGAATAGCAGCACTACCACGATGCATTGGTAGGTCACTGTGAGTCACTGGTATTGGTCAGATATGCATTCAATCACTTCTAAATGATACCTGATGAAACTACATGTCGCGTTGCTCATCAGCTGATCGACGCCGAGAGGTCTATCCACTTCTTTTTATTTATATTATCTGAGTCCGTGTGAAGAAAAAAATAAGAGCATCGTTCGTTTACGCAACACTACTTTAATGAAGAGCCTCATCGAGGAATGTTGCTTCATTTGAAACTACTCATAGTGGTGGATTATCATTGTAACTAACGTTGAATGTGGTAATTTCTAGGATCGGCTTCCTATTAATCCCGATGTTGATCAATTGCGAGATTGTTACTGCAATAGAGAAATCGGTCGGAACATTAACTATTATGGGATAAACACTGCAGTAACAGTCTCGTGTCTGCTCATTGGAAAAAAGGACAAATTATTTTGAATGTGAATGTGTCGTTTTCTTGTTCAGCAATCGCGTTTTTAAACAGCATACATTTACTTCCATAAAAACACAATACAATACAACGCTAGCTGACGTTTCAGCAGTATCGCCTTCTTCAGAACCTGGAAGGATATGCTGATATACAATCTACTAGGCCAAACGCTTCAATAACACTTACACAAAGACGAAAGACTCTTTAGTAATTACATGATCAACAGCTTCTCGAAAAACCCACCGCTTTTTACGTGACTTCCAATGAGGAAGTTTGGAACAGCTGATTATAGTCGCATGTGGTCGACGACTGCACCATCCCACATCAGAAATTGACGCAAACATACATACAAACATAAATATGCAAACATATTGTATATCAGTATACCCTTCCAGGCTCTGAAGAAGGCGATACTGCCGAAACGTCAGCTAGCGTTGTATTGTTTTGTGTTTTTATGGAAGTAAATGTATGCTGTTTAAAAACCTCGCGATTGCTGAACGAGAAAACGACACATTCATATTCCAATGCCGAGGTTAAGAGAAAGTCGATCCTGGGAACTATTTTGAATGTGTTGAAACGTCTCATATTGGGTGTTTGCATTTCACGGATTGACAACACTCCCATGGAAACTGTTTTTGTTCGGAAAATAAAATTCGGATTGTCCGAACGATACATGAATGCTACGTGGCACGATTTGTTCAGGAATGGTTTTATTACTAACTTGAATAGATTTATTGACTGTTTTCTAAAAACGAATCGTCCTTCAAAAAGAGATATTTGGGAAACTTCGGACTGCAGCTGTCTGCAGTGGGGAACGATCGCGCTATTACCCTTTACGTGGACTAACGCATTCACTACCACACCATGCGGGTCCTTCGTTTCGCCTGTCTCTCAGCTAGTCCTAGCTATTTAGAGTATGCTCATTTTTTAGTGGATATTGTGTTGTTATTGAAGCGAAACATCTTTAAGCTCTCATTCGTTTGTTCTTCCTTCTTTTTGACTTACATGTTTCAAAGGAAATTTGTCTTGAATGCTACTTCTGACTCTCTTGCAATAGGAAGTTTTTAGTTGTTATCTGTATCCAATGCTTATTCAACGTCGTCTTCTTCCATTTAGAACTGCTGTGGACTTAACACTTTTTGCTTTACCGCTTGCTAGCCAGGGGTTATCGTGGTCGCTTTAAGTTTCAAAATTGGACATATATTTAGCGACCTCGCAGTACCTAAACCTAACTGGTTATGCATTACTTCATGTCTATTGTGGCAAAAATGAGAAATGTCTTCAAAGTTGACATCATATAACTTCGACAAGAATGATCAATATCTTCTTAGATTATTAAGCTAACACGAGGTTGGTGTACAAGTTTTATTCCACTAATGCTTCATCGCTTTCGCCTCCTTTAGAGCTAGATTAATCCGAGCAGATTATCCAGAGGCATTCATTCTTGCGATGTGGGTTTTTGTAGTTCCATCGGGTGGAATGTTCTGGAGTAGAGTATATCTTGAATGAAGTCACTTAAATCGGTAGTGACCTTTTATAAAGGGCGACCCTGTAATTGTTCTGTTACCACCGTTTTTAGTCTTATTTTCATGATGGCGGTTCATTATGGAGCAGTCGGTATTTTGTTAGCTAACACATAGTGAATCAATATTTTCAATTTCAAAACCGGACATCATTTAAACTCAGCCCACATCGGAAGGGCGAACGCCTATGGGCAATCGACTCGGATCAACGCTGGTCTGAAGAAAGCAATGTCGCCAAATCGCTAGCCGAACAAAGACTTTGTACCAACTTCGCGTTATCTTAATAATCGAAGAAACTATAAAACATGACTGGCTGTTAATGATGAAATCACTAATTGGTCCAACCGTGACTAAAAGTTTTAATGTTAACCATACGCTAGAAAGCGAGTTGTCCAAGGTAGTGAAGTGAAATAGAACTTTGTTAGCATATACAGAGAAACAGTGGGTTAGAGCTGCTCTTGCACTTTCAGTCCGTTGATTTTGTAAATGGGGCGCGCAGCGGAATGGTTAGAGCCGCTGCACGACACACACTTGATAGTGACTATATAACCTTCAAACATTTCCAGCAACGCTTGATGAAGTCGAATGCATGGCTCGTTCTTCAAAAGTTTACCAAGCCGTACCACTTCATCCTGTTTTCCTTTATCGTTTTGAATTTCAACATCTTCAATGTCGCAAAGCTCACTGAACTTCAGTGAACTGGAAGATTTCAGGTGCTTTCGTCGTCGATGGAGAACGCGACAGCCCACGACGCAGCGTCTATGAGTGCGTCCGAATTTCTGTACGGAAACGAATCGCGTCTGGTCGCCATCATTGCCGTTGGCGCTGTGTTCGCGATCGTGACGATTGTCGGCAACCTAATGGTGCTTTTCCTTTAAGCATGATTTCTTCGGTAGACAGCGAAAAATAGTACAATACTTCTGATTCTATTTAGCCAGAATTCTCAACAATCGTCGATAACCGTCACTAGCAAATTAATTTTTGCATAAGAAACTTTGTACTTCGATGTTTGCTCACCTTGTTCAAATTGATTGTGCAGGTTTCCTGAGCTGTTGATGAACAAGTGTTTAATTCTACGGAAATTGTTTCCAAAAAGTGCCAATACCACAGAAATCGTGTTTTTCTTGCTTTCATGCTCATTCTATTTATGAGAATTTGAACCAAAACAGCGTGTAGATAGAATTCTGTGGTGAAATGATCCACACGACAAATTTGGAGAAAGGGTTCACTGTTGTAAAAAGCTTGCGCAATCTTCATAAATCTTGTTAGAGTCACGTGTAACAGATGCGCTTGCGTTAATAGCCAAAGAAATTAAGTGAGGACCTTTGAAGTTGTCATTCTTCATGCCCTCTAAACTACCCCAACACGGATGTGCTCATTTGAGGAATAGCAAGAAAAGCACTACACTTTTAATAATACACCCTTTAAATCCATGCCTTTTAGCGAGAAGGTTAGCTCGGTGTTCCTCTATCGAGTCCATTTTAGACAGGTTTATTCCTAATTGGGCTTGGAGCACTAAAATTCTTCCTTTTGGAAGACATTATGGAATCAGTAACTCTCTGCTGCACTATATGCGTAAAACCAAGTGACGCTTGCGCACATGACGAAATCGTGAACTACTGAGAGTCGTGTTTGTACACAAGCAGCTAATTTTAGAGAGAAATCCAAAAGTTTATTGAATATCCTATATTACAATGCTAACATTTTATTTGTTGTCTACTACAATTCAGTTCCGGTCAATCCCGCTGAAAGCTGATACCACTAATCGATATAACTAGCTGAGAGACAGACGAAACGAAGGATCCGCATGGTGTGAAGGTGAACTCACTAGCACCTGAAAGGGTAATAGAGCGTTCGTTCTCCACCGCAGACACCTGCGGTCCGGAGTTTTGCAAATATCTCAGCATCGTTGTATTCTATATTAGATGAAAAGTTCCATTATACGTTCACCAGTGTTATTATTTTTATTAATAATTTTACTATTATTGCTACATTATTACTACTGGTGCTGATGTGGAGTATGAGTGTCACTAAAATCCCACATAGAATATGCACGGAATTTTCCTGGTCGCAGTTCAAAAAAACAGACATGAGTGACTTGATTAGAGCACTTCTTCTTCTGTTTATGGTGACGCACTACGTAATAAATCCCTCATAAGTTATTGTTAAAGGTGATGGTCAGTTTCAAGATAGACAAGCAGCTGCAGACGATCAGCAACTATTTTCTGTTCAGCTTAGCCGTGGCCGATATTGCAATAGGTGAGTGCATTCATTCGTGGGTCATTTGAGACCATCTGGGTCACAATTTAATCTATTTGTTTTACGCAGCTCGAGTCCACATATCATGCGGGTCTTGCCATTTTCTTCACACTGTTTTCTTATATACTTCATCTAAAACGACCTTGAGATTGATTGAGACCTTGAGATTTGCGTGTAAGTACGATTGCTGCTTGAGGATCTTGGTTCGTCATAAATGTCGTTGAATGCTGCCCTTTTATCCCTAGCACCGCGATATCTATTTATTTACACCACTCATCCGTCACATCTACAGTGTGGATTCCAAAGCCTCCCGTATTCCATTTGTTTCCGCACATTAATGATACAGGAAAGTCTTCCAATGTTTCGTATGTAGGTTTGGCTGCTGCCTGAGGATTTTCTCTTGTTCGTGAATGTCTATGATGGCTTAATGCTGGTCGAATCATTTCTTTCCTGGAGTGATGAAATATCCAGGCAAGAACGTTCCAACTAGGTTTACAGAAAGGGATGTTTTTCCAGATAAGGCTTGTACCATTCTCCGGACTCCAATGTGATGAGAGGCTTGGTAAGCTCCACTCGGGAGAGAAGCAGGACCGTGGTCATGATGATCGCCATCACTACCACCGACCCACCTGCTCCCTGTGTCGAAAACTTTGAATCTGAATTGACACTTGCAAAAAGGAGATGGCAACCTTATACATGTAAAGTCAGCAAGCGCATTGGCGATAACTGAAAGGCAGTATCTCGAATAATTATGGGAAAGGTGTTGCGAAAGTAGGAGTGTTCTTGTCCATATGACAAGTCTTTTGAAAAAAACTAGTATTCAGAACTTTTAATCAATGCTTACAGTTTCTTTTGCTTCAAATATTGTTCGAAAATATGAATTTTCCATTTAAATGCTAAGCTAAAACACGCACCCTCCGAATAAGCTTTCCGTCGAATTCATCATACTATAAAGGTTTTTTTAAATGTATATTATTTCGCAGCGTAATTGCCTCCGATATTTCTTCGGAGCCTTTTCTTCCGAATTATAGGGCGTGGGTATAAAAGGATATCAGCGCAAAGGGGTAAAGTAGAATAGCATCCGATAGGATAATCTGTGTATGTACTATGCTATACAAGTACTAACTGGAGAAAACCTCTCAAGTTGTTTGCGGTGTGGTGAGAAACGAACCGAAAGTACTCAGAATCAGGTTTTTATATAAACGCATCGCACATGGCACAATGTCACAAACTGCAGGCAGCTGGGGCAATTTGTCAAAGTTATCGCAGCCTATCCATTTACAGCACCAACGTAAATCTTTTATATTCACCTATACTACTTTCTCAAATACTTGGATACATGGATAATTGAATGGCCCGTCTTCACTGGTTGTGTGAGCTTCAGCATAATTTCCACTTTTCGGAGTTTTACCAATTAAGCCATTGTGGTTCTCTGGAATCCCGAGGTCAGCCTAACCAAAGTCCCTCCAGGTCGTTACCACCCCATTCAGCCGCCACTTTTTTGGATTAGGTTTGCAACCATGCGGCTACTTTGGTACAAGGACGGTGGTAATTCCTGAAATGGGTTTCCTCTCAGCTGGGCTTCCGTATGGAAACCTCGGACTTCTTACCTTGGGAGCACCTGTTGGAGAGGTAGGGGATGAACCTCCACCACATATCGTAGCCTGACACCCAAGATGTGCATCTTCCAGGCACTAAACCATTCGCGCCGAGAAATTTATCACCTCAAAAACCGTCGATTTGACAATTGTGGTCAATTTATGGGAAGCCAAACTTTTTTCAACGTTCTGTGAACATCAAAAATACGAAGACTTGCCTAAATTCTACAAATACTCATCTTAAATTTTGTTATACCTCCCAACGGTTTACCGTCTCATCGTGGCTGGAGGTGTTCCTGGGTGTCGGACTGCGATGCACAGCGGGGGAATGGCACCCCCAGCAGGGTCTCCCAAGCTGAGAAGGAGTCCGGCTTTTCCATCAGGAAACCTAGCTAAAAGTAAACCAATACCAGGATCCACCACCGTCTTGGTATCAAAGTCTCCTGGTGGTGGTGGTAGAATCTAGAATAGAATGGTGGTAAATCTCCTTCTGATCCACAAGGGCTGCGACTGCCTATCGTGGTGACGACCTGGGGCAGGCTTTGGCCAGGCTGTCCTCGGTATTCCAAGGGGCCACAATGGCTTAACCAATAAATCTCCGAAAAATTGTGATTATGCTGGGGCCCGCACAACTAGTGATGACGGGCCGTTCAAGCATCAAGTAGTAAGTAATTCTGTTATAAAAAAGGATAAATGGAAAATATTTTGAATCTAGAAGTAGTTTTTAATCTCGGGCTTCAAATGCACATATCTCTGCTCATTGCGAACTTTATTAATCGGGATGAAAAGTGATAACATTGTACCCATCTTCCACATGACATAGCGTCGCTGCCTTCACCGACTCAAAAATTTACGTCTTGACGAACTTTCTGAAGCCACGCCGAGAAACGGTATGGTTGTTGACGATGTTCGCAGCAAGTATGTAGTTCTTCACAAACTTCAGAAAGGAGCGGAGTTGGTGAGCGCGCTATTACAGCTAAGGTTCCGCATCCAAATTCCTCCAGCTTTTACACCAGTGGGTGCAGGATTAAAAACTGATGGAATTTTCTTCTTACACTTGTATTCCAATGGCTTTCGAAATATTTTGTATATAAATAAAGAGTTTGAAAAAGGCATGTGGTTTGTGCAAAAAGCGTAAAATGTCACTTTAGGGCAAAGTTCGAGAGCGTGAAGATTTCGAAATGCATTTCAAACGACCTCTTTGCTTTCATTTTGATTCATAGCTTCAGCAAGGGAGTTTTTACCTAAAACATGAAATTCGTAAAAGTGCCGAAGAGAATTTAGCCCACCTTGACGTCATCCAGAGCATATTCTCACAAACTCGTAGAAAATCTCATAACATATTACATTTCGTACCTTACTTTCCGTTTCTTTTCTCTATCGAGCGTGTGTAGCAGAGCGGGTTCGTGTAATTCAGTGGCTAGAGGTGGCCTGTAGTATAGACTGGGTCGTTGGTTCAATCCCACGCCCAGGTCCGCCAAGCCCTCCATCCTTCCGAGGTTCGCAAATTACCAGGCTGGTGTTAGAGCTTAGCAAACTAGATATATTAGTGGACAACCTTTAATCTTAGATATTCATTAACTTCTAACTATTTGTAATGAAGTCGAGTACATGACACTTCCCTCAAGGATTGTTCATCGTCGAGAGCTTCACTCTACTTTGTCCTCTCGATTACAGCAACATGTTTAGGCATGATCTCGATACCTCTGTGGACGTACTACACAGCGATGCGATCGTGGGGAATTGGCTACACGATGTGCCAGTTCTGGCTGTGCGTCGACTACCTCATGAGCAACGCTTCAGTGTTAAATCTCCTATTGATCTCGTTCGATCGCTACTTCTCTGTTACTCGACCGCTCTCTTATCGACCAAGGCAATCTTTCTATTCGAAATAGTAACAAACATTCCAATTCGAACATTTAAACAATTACGAAAAAGCTCCGATTAATTTTTGGGATAAATGTAGGAATAGGACGAGCCTACAAATAAAAACACCTGGCCCTCGATCAGCTTATTTGAAAATCACCCCAAACATTACGGAACTGAGAGCGGCACGGTGAAGGAATTCCGGGTACTAAAAAACTCGTAATATATGTAAATTCTGTTGAAACAGATAGTGCAAAAAAACGGGGTGCTGTAGACGTTGCTGCTGCACTTTCAGTAGAGGTTTTTGGCAAAATATTCTTCTCTATGCACTGAGTTGCAGAATTGACTGAGCCATGCAAACGTCACGCATTTGGAAAGGGAAGGTTTACATATAAATTTTCAATTTAATGTAGAGACTCTACAATTTAAGCGAAAGATTAGTCGAATTCTGTATCAGTAGTAGTGGTTGAGCTTATCACTACGATGAAGCGTTTTCTTGGCAGTCATCACTACAATATGGACGGCCATGTTAAGATTTTAAAAAAAGCTTTCCGAATTAGCAGAGTTTCAATTAAATCGAATTTGTGTTGGTATAACGAAATGGGAAAATTTTTGAATTTCAATTGGTAGCTAAAATAAGTTTGAAACCTATTAAAAGGTGCTCTTCTTTAACTGGAAGGATAACTGAATAAATGCAAAAGCTTAGGCCAACGATAAGGTTTTGATTTTGTTCGTTTGTTTTTCTTCCGCAAGGGAAAAAATATAGTTGTCCAAAGCTGCTAGAAAAAAATACTGTTTATATAGAGGAAGTATATTGCATAAAAGCATGCTGGTCATTGTCAAATACCAATTTTGCAGAAGAACGACCCGGAAGGCGCTGGTAATGATCGCTTGCACGTACATCATCTCGATGATTCTTTGGCCACCATGGATCATCAGCTGGCCTTACATTGAGGGTTGGTAATTCATCAATTTAAGTCATCTGTTTATTTAATCTTCTTCTTTATGTCAGTTACCTCGTGTTAAATTTGTGTTCTGTAAGCTCCTATTTCGGGTAGCTGCGCTTATGCTCTGCATATGTTCGTCTATTCTGTTTCGTGCCTCGAGTTAACCTAGCCCGCCACCCAACCGGAGTAGAAAATTTGCTAAGACCTCGTCTGTGGAGACCAAAGCGTTGGCTCGGCACTTTGTTAGACTTCCATAGATCACTGCACAATCAAGCTATGTATTTATGCGTATTTGATCAGCGCCTAAAGTTTTTATACTTTATCCCACATTCTCTAAACTCATCTAATGTTTTTCCTTCCTATCCTGAATAACGGTAAATTACCAGAAATTAAGATAGCTATTGGCTCGAGCTATAATCCAGTTAGGAGAGGGTAGCGCACTGGTAATGGATGCTTTCATTACGCTGTCGGCTCTAACCTACCTTGGGCGGCGATTTAACTCGACTCCGCGCCTATCAAGCCTCTCATCCATCCGGGGTCAGTAAGTTGGTAACTACATTGATTGGTAAAAGGATTCCAGAGGCTACGCACTCGACCATCATTCAACGGCATCTGGTACGAAGACTAAAATATCCTAAAGCGGCTGAGGTCCGCAGACTATGATACATGTGGTGTCGAGTCATATAATAATAATGGCAATAATAACACTTTTAATAAAAGTAATAAAAACAATAAAATTAAGTCAAGTGGAACGTTGAGATTGAGGAGAACTCTATCAACTTAGTAAGTATGCAGTTCATAAGCACAGTAGTTTCTGTTACTATGTGGTTTCTGTACATCCCATGAATTGACTCCACTTTGCGTCTATTCACTGCAAAAATGCAGTTTTTACTCATTCTGCTTTCATGCTCCAACAGATTTGCTCAAAATTCACAAATGCTCGCTACGTCTTGTTTGGTATTGCTAGAGTGTATGTGTGATAGTTTTTTGTCAACTTGCAGCTAATGCTAGAAATGGTTCTGAGCTTCAGCACTCTCTTATGTTTTGCACTTGCAGGAAAATTCACCGTCGAACCAGGCATTTGTGTAGTGCAGTTTCTCGAGACAAATCCCTATGTGACAGTTGGGACGGCAGTGGCCGCTTTCTACCTTCCCGTTTCCATCATGATCGTGCTCTACTCGCGAGTTTATTATGAGACTCGTAAACGACGGAAAGAATTTGGAAAATTACAAGCATCACAGGTCATTCTAGTTGCATAAAAAATTGCTCCCAACTTTCTTTCTTTTAGAATAAGAAATTCAGAAGAGATGTGGGGAGTTGACGCTTTCAGCAGATTTGTCATTACTATAGCGTATACTGTTATCGTTAGTTACCTAACTAGCTATCCTTCTAATCAGAAAAAGAGCGAAAATTATGTTTAACAGTATAGGATGGAAATCTAGGTGACCATCCTGTTTTAGTATTCAAATTACTCCAACGACTCAGTTTGTACGCGTAGATCACTCACTCCAAAGAAGAAAAGCAAGGTAAATCCCGCCAGCAACCCTTCCTCGATTTCTGTCATGCCTCTCCTCCCCTCAGCCAATGATAGCAGAATGTTCGAGATAATCCTTACGTTTTCAGCTTCCACAGCGACCAATACCTCGTAACACCTCGACAAACTCTCTTGTGGGAGGTAGTGAAAAGGAAGCTGTAAAGAAGAACGCGTGGAATCCAAATAACAAGAAAACGTGAGACATTCTCAAGTTTAAAGTAACCACGACCTGATCAGTGTCGAATAGCTATAGAAATTCTGTTTTGCACAAAAAATTACTATTGACGTCATTTAATCTTTAATGAGAGGATATTTTTTCCATACCAGGGAGGCCAACTACTCTATGACACATCGGCCATTTGATTTCGAGAAACGACTAGATATTTTTCTAAGTGGCTAAAACAATTTGCCACATTCAACCACTTAGAAATCAATGGTACAAAAGAATATATAGAGCGCTTTAATCTCAATCCCTGTGATGCTGAGATAGGGCGCGTGTGGTGCAGTGGTTGGAAGCGCCCTGCAGTACACACGTGGAAACAATCCCCTCGCCCATGGCCCAACAGGCCCTCCATTCTTAGGGGGTCGGCAAATTGGTACCAGACTTGTCTGGGAGGATAGCAGCACTGGCTCGATACATCGATAGGCCATCACGGGTCGCTGTAGAGGTCAAATATGCATTCAATCACCTATAACGATGCTTAGATGCTTAATGAAGCCGAGTGCATGGCGCATCTCTCAGGGATTGGTCAACGCCAAGTCCTTTATCACTTATCTTTTATTTATCATGATGCTGAGATATCTGCAAAACTTGGATTTTAAGCCTGATTCGAACTCACGATTACCCTTTCTGGAGGCTCACGTGTTAAGCACTGCACAGTGTAGCCCTTGCTTTGCTTTTCTTTCAAGAAGTTTTTTTTACCCTAACGGTGCCATCCACAATCATCCGTCAATGGGAACGGTCTGGGGAGCACAAATCGGCATTGAACCCATTTAATCTGAAGCTGTAGTCGAAATCACAATGTTTGATTTTTATTGTTGTTTGTTGTTTATTCACTGCCTGTTATTTTAGAGAGACCATCAGGAGTAATAGAGCACATTTCTATTATATTAAGAGTTCTTGCAGATCGAAGGGTATAAGAAGTCGGGTTAACTGGCTGAGGATATCCAACGCTCGGTCACGTTCGTCATCGGATGAAAGCTCAGAGGTATTTGCTTGAATCCAAAAAATACTAAGACAAAAGCAATTAGTGGAAGTGAGATCGTGAAATTTCCTTTTTTGTTTCATAGTTAAATTTAATGACTTGTCTTCAAAAATCGTGCATTCTCCACCTCATTTTTTCTATTTCCGCTTCAATCGTCATCATCATAGTGGCGGTCTTCCCAATGCTTCACAACGTAAGCGGCTTTCCTCCGTGATCCTTAAGACAGCAAGCGCAGATATTGACATCCGTGAATTTGTCAGTCCATTATCGGTATCGTTTTAATGGTATCCTCTTGGAATTCACTGTTTTTCGCCTCCAGTTGTGGAGGGAACTTCTTTATCACATAACCAGGCCTTCAATTTTTTTGGGATTCAAATTACAAAGCCTGATTCTATTTTATGACTCCGAGTGTGTTTCCGGGGCTGGAAAATTGGAACAGGACTTGTCTGAGAGGTTAACAGCACTGACTTAGTAAATCGGTAAGCCACTGCCAGCCATTGAATAGGCGACAAACGCATCAATTACCTATAACGATACTTGTTGAAGTCTAATGCGCAGTACATCTCAAGCAATGATCAGGGCCGGTAGCCTCGACCTTTATCCTCCATATTTTTTTTCCCGAAAAAATCGTTCAAACGCTTTGTGGAGTATGCACATAGGTTTGACGTTTTCATGGTGGCACCTCATTTCTCCACTGGATAACAGAACGTTGCGCAGATTTCCGCTCAGTAATTGATCCTTTAAGATCGGGATGAAAGCTGGAACGCTAAGAATGCTTCATCTGGTCAACACTCGCGTTTATCATCTAGGTTGAGCGTGCAAGGTATCTTTTTTCGGAATAATCGCCGAACTATCTCGATTCGTTTCATTTCACAGCAAGATTTCTCAAGTTCTTTGTCTTTATCTTTTTGAACTGATGTCTGCAATGCTGGAGTGTCATAGGAATCTTTCATCAATTTGGTATTTTCTTACCCATTTTGTCAGCGTTAAAAGCAGGTAAGGTATATTCAACCATTCTTTCAAAGAGTGACTCGTGTACAAGTTTTCCATTGCCTATTTTCCGTTCTTTTATCTTCAAGAAGTGTTATCATTTGGGACCAACCTGTGTGTTTCATGACTTCCAGTTCAAAACACATCAGTCATTATCGGGTTGTCTGCCTTCAGAGTTGTGCTTTCTCTCACGGTCCTAATAGGATCGAGGACTTCAATGGGAAAAAATCTAAGAATTTCGTAGCACTGACGTCACTTCGATATCATAGTAGCATCACCTATTGTGTGTGGAGACATGTTCGAACACCTTGTGCGTGCGGTAGGTGATTCCTGAGCTCAGCGACTATGTCCGTTCATCTTGAAAAATGACTTTTCATGAAAGAGAGTTATGCCTACTCTACGGATATTCCTTGACCACATCTTGCTTCCACATCCCTACCTTCTAATTCACGCATGTCAACTTTATGTTCAAGGAAATGAAATCCTTGACGAGCCAGCAAATTACCAACCAAATAGGTATATTGTACAACCAATATTATGCTGTGGTCACCAGTGCATTTCATGATTTGTGAAAGCGAGCCATTTAGATACTTATTAATTTTGCCTAGTGAATGAACGTGCTCGAGGGACCTAAAACGTCGTTTTTGTTTAATGGTTTTGCAAGGTTTGCATAAGTAAAATTATAGACAGAACCACATTCGATGTGAAGACGCAGACACCAGCATCAAAAAACTAAACAATCGTTTCAAAGTTTTCTAATGAAAAAAGTGCTGGTTGAAATGCGATGGGACATGGACTAACTCGCATTCGTCAAGCTTTTTTTTCTTCTAGGAAACACAAGATTATACGGAAGCGTTCCCCTATTTCGAGGAGATGAACCGTCAAACTTTACTTCAGTGTTCAGACTTTTTGTTAAATAAAGTAGATAAAATGCAGCTTCTCAATCATTAGAGTGGAATATCGCTTTTGACCCATTTTTACAAAGTTTTTATATTGGGCATCACTTTGGGATAGATCGATGCCAGAGGCTTTGTCCTTCATCGCTTCACCGCAATTTAACTTCTTGTAACTTTTTCACTCCACCATTTTTGTTTACTTTTAGTTTTTTTGTGTTTAGAAAGAATTTGCCGTAAAGAATGGCAGTTGTTTGGCGTTACCATTTTAGTTCAACAAGATTCATAGCTTTAATTCCAATTTTCTTCAATTTGGTAGCCATTTGCCACTACAAAGACCACTGGAGCCATTCCTCCTTATCAATTTAGTTTAGTTACAGCTTTTATTCTACTCGTAAATTTACTTGCGTCAATATCGGTTCTTTATCCTTTTTTATAAACACGGATACAATTGGTGGATATCCAAATATAAACTGCTTTTAATTCCCCATCTATACCTAACTTAAGAGAGCGCCTATAATCGAGTACCTAGAGCTGCTGTATAGTACAGACGTGGTCCTTGGCACGATCGGACGTCAGGGCTCATCGAACGTTCCATCCCTGCAAAGTCTGCAGGCAGATAGCAGATCTGTCTGCGACGATTGCAGAACTACCGTGAAACATCGATAGGACCCCACCCCAAGTCATTATATAGGCCAGATGTGCATTCACTCTTCTCTAAATCGATGCATTAGCAATGTTCAATCGTAAAGTCCAATGCATGGCGCATCATCAGAGATTGACTAACGCAATGAGCTTTACCCTTTTTAGTCCTTTACCGAAAGCGTGAAGCACTCGGTACTAATTCCCTTTTCTTTTTTAGTATTTTGGTTGAGGTAGTGCACACCGACAATACCGTCTTTCTTCACCTTTCTATAGCAGAAAACGAATCCCGCCAACCCTCATTCATTTCCACTTCTACAAATGACGTCAGATTAAGTGATTGTCGTTTTTCATCGAGCAAATTTTACCAGGGGCTTTTGTCGAAACCTTCGAGTTCACTTACCCATATATAACGATGAAGTAGTGCTCACAGATTTGTTTCCGAACTTATGTAAAGAACCGGCACAACTCGACTAACACAAAATCCAGTTCGTCGCGTAGAAGGTCCATCTAATGCTCTCTCTTTCTAGCAGTAAAGTCTTTTGACAGACCTTTTCTTACTGAAAAAATTGTTATATCAGCAATTAATCGGATAGTGGTGTTTCTAGGAGATACACTTCGGTAAAACACAGATGGAAAACAGTTCTCGAAGTGGTTCAATGCAGTTACGCAATGATCTGCCGGCATTTGACACGTATACGGTAGGTGAAGGACTACTTTTTTAGTCGTTGCAACTGTATCTCAATATTGAGCACGTCCTTCGAAATTACGGAAAAAATTAAACTCGCTACTCACTGAAATGTAACCCCAAGGACCAGACAACAACCAGCAACCAATTAGTCTCAATTTTTTCAGGTCTTGATCGAGTTGAGCGACGAAGGCATCCGGCCGAGCGTGCGATTGAGCAGATCTCATTCTTCGCAGCAGTGAGTGTTAGGTCGAAGTGTGAATTTAAATTTTTATGAAAGATTATAACAGTATGTTGAATCAAATCTCCAACTGGACGATCTCATTTTTATGCGGTTGTTCTTTTATTGGTTAGTGTTGTTCCTCTATAGTTAGTAGTTTGCAAAAAACAAAATAAAAAGTGTTTTGGACCAGGCCATTTCTTCAGGAACCTTTCGGAATGAATTTATGCAAGAAGTCCCTACATGCGGTTGATATTCGTTGCGCAAGTGACCGATAAGTGTTGACAGCGACTTTGTTGCACAACAAGGCCTTTTTTTTCCTCAAGAATAGGAAACCGAAATGTGTTAAAAGTACGAAGAGTATTCAGAAGAGCTAAAAGTAATATAAGCAGCAAGCAACCGAAGGAACCAGTAAAATATCCACAAAAGCAGATTCACACCGAACAAAGGAGGCGGAGCCAACTACTCGGTTGTGCGCAATAGCGAGTGTAAGTGGTTCCACTTAAAGGAAGTGCGCCGAAAAATTGGGCGTCAAACAAATACATTACCCGCTCGGATTTAGGTGTCAGTTACTTAATATTAAACTTTGGATCCTTAAGCTGTGGCACCAGAGGAAACTTTATTCTTTTTCATGTTATTTTATCGATCTACTGAGCGTCTTTCATCGCCGTAATCGTTCCACCCAGATTCAGAAAATTGGCCTGGACCAAGTCAACTATACACTACCAAACGGTGTGCATCTTCCTTTCGTGTCTTTCGTGCATTGTCGGCTTCAGGAAGTACTTCCAAGTTTCACTGTGCTCCATTCAATATTGTTTGTCGCACCTTGTCGCAGTGGATCCATTTCTTGTTTCACAACACAATGCGGTTGAGAACCAGGTCATTCTGGTTGCGCAGAAGAACCGTAGGCAACGCCTTAAAACGGTGATTTCTTTAATTGTCATTCAATTTACGTGGAAAGTATCTTATCGAGCTTCTTCGACTCTCGAGTTCGCCTCTCGCCTTGCACAGTTTGGAAAGCTGAGGTCTAATTAGATTTGAGCTTAATTCAATGCCTGTGCTTGCGTGGTAGGTAGATGTTGGGAAAATGTAAGTCACTCGTTCTACGAGAGAACTGCCGATCCACTCGATTTTGCTGAGCCTGTATACCCACTTCAATGATGTCCTTTCTAACTCGGCAGTATTCTTTCATAAAGCGAGATTCCTTGCTGATTCCCCATCCAGTATTATGTGTTTTTCAAGACAATCCTTCACACAGTAGGCGCAATTATGCTAACTTAAATATATGTTGAGGCAATGTTTTTAAAAAAGGTTGGAGGCGCAACTGCGACACACACGTGGAATCGATCTCCATGTCCATAGTCCACCAGGCCTACCATCTCTCCGGGGTCGGAAAATTAGTACCAGACTTGTCTGGGAGGATACTAGCACTGGCTCGAAACATCGGCAGCTAACCGCTTGTCATTGTAAAAGCCAGATATGCGTTCATTCACGTCCAACGACGTTTAATAAAGTCGAATGCATGGCGCATCCCTCAGGGATTGATCAACGCCAAGAGGTTTATTCTTATCCATTATCTAATAATACTTCAGGAGTGGCAGTCTAGCACTTTCTATCTTAAGGTAGAGCGCGTTCAGTCGCTTCACTTCCTCCGTAGGCGTTTCTACCATTTGCTTTTGTTCGTCTAGTTCATAACAAAGTCCCAATTATTACGCACAAGTGGCGTATAAAAATATACAAATTTTGCCCACTGAAATAAGTGCAGTTTTCATCATACAACGTTTAAAGAATATTTGAATGAAAGGTTAATTGGGGTTTTGGAAAAGGTTATGGAGAATATTTCGCAGTGAAATTTTTCAGTTGTTATTCTCCAGCACTGTTCAGTTACACTATGTTTTTCGCAAGAGAGATAGTAGTACTGCTAACGATACTAATTAGAAGGCCGAATTCTTTTAACAGACCAGAACTATGACCAGCGACTCTCGTTTCCAGAGAAGCATCTCGGCGTGATTGTCGCAGCAACTCCAATCCACAACAAACGTTCAAAACCGGTCGCCATGGGAATTCGAAAGGCAAGTAATGCGCTTTCTCGGCCTGTTAATAGCTCATTTTTTACATTTTTAGACACAATATCGCCTATGAAGAATGGTCGTCTCTCGAAAACGTCCCATTCGAATTTCGGGAGCGACCGAAAGAGTGAAAAGGAGAAGAAGAAAAACGAAAGAAAGCAGGAGAGCAAAGCGGCCAAAACATTGTCAGCCATTTTAGCTGCATTTATCGTCACTTGGACTCCATATAACGGTATGTGTTTTCCTTCTCAACAATAGACGTGCTTTCAGATAAAATTCTAAGAACCATAAGCATTTACAAATGACACAAAAAGATCGCGATAACTGGTAAGAATCATCATATGGCTACGTTGTTGGTGTAACAGCCCACAGCGCAAGAATATGAAGAGCGCTCGCGGAAGTGAGTAAGAGTGAAGAATTGTTTGTAAGATATCTGTGAGCAATGAAAGTAGTTAACTTATGTTAACACACACAACGTAATTACACGAGAATCAACAATAACATTAATATATCAGCCATGCAAGAGCTAAGGATTACACTTAATATCATTACGACCTAAGCCAATGAATCCGCAAGGAAAGAATAAGAGGGAGGGAAATAATGATGGACTTGACGACGGCGCTCCCCACGGCGTAGTCGGGCTAAATGACGGTGCTAGTGGGCATGGCTACGTCCAAGTGAGCGGCGTGCCCTTTGGGCAGAACGGTGACATGGACGCAGGGCACACACGCGGCGTTGTAGCAACGCGGTCTCCATCGACCCACAGAATGTATTAATTAGTTATATAAAAAATTCCCTATCTGGTAGAGAAATTCTCTATAGTTGGAGGGATTTGTTGTACTTTTGTTACAGCATTCTCTCTATATTTTCTCGTGCACTTTTTGTTGTGCATATGTGCAGCGCACTGGTTAGAGTTACCCTGCAATGCAAATGTGATCACTACTTCGAATGCACCCCTAAGCAAAGCGACCCTCCATCTCTCTCATTAGACACTTGCTACCACACTTCTCTGCGAAGACAAGAGTGGATTTTTCCACCAAAAATTGTATCAGATATCGTACAGATCAGATAATCCTTTAACCATTCTTGGAATGATTAGTGGATCCGATTCATGAGATGTGCATGCAATTACCTCTACGACTTCCCAAATGGTGTCGCATACATCCTTCAGGGATTGCCGAATAGTTTTATCCTTTGTCATTTATTTTCTACATGACTTTTCAGTAATTGTGTGCTATGAGGCGTTTTTTCCAAACAGTGTGCCGGATTACTTATTCACAGCTAGCTACTTTCTATGCTATATCAACTCAACTATCAACCCACTCTGTTATGCTCTTTGTAATGCGAGGTTTGTTAGGTCGTTCTTTTTCTTTCTTATCCGCATCCATTCATCAAAAAGGATCAGCTTCTTTTCACCTTTTCAAATTCCAGGTTCCGCCACACTTATCGTCGTATTTTAAAATGTAAATTTGGCGCCGAACGACCAAATGTCTACAATAGTGCATATGTAAGACGACAGTAGATCTTGCTACGAATACAGAGTTATCTTCATGCAATTTTTCGGTGCTCAACTCAATGCTTACTATCAATTTTACAATCGGTTACGAGAGGATGACGTTAGATCTTGGTGCAACCTCAATTACTTGGCTTTCGAACCTTCTTTAGATGTTTACTGTTGACTCTAGGAAGTAGAAAGTAGAGGCGAGGGATTTCGAGAATCTTGATTTCCATGAATGCGTTTGAACATAGCATCGTGACGTAGGGTTGCGCTCAAGATTAAGCGAAATCGATCGTACATCTCGATCAAATAACCAGTAATCATATAGTAGTCTCATAGCTTATACCGAATACTTTCCGCCATTCCCAGACATGAGTATAGCAAACTCGTTGAAATCGTTAAAATAACTAATTAGACCTCGAAAGTGGTGGTCATGTTAGCAATAGGGAATGCTACTCTCGTAGCCGTTTGTAAAATAGACAAAAGGTCAGCTCAATAGTAAACTTGAAAACGGGTCATTATGAAGGATGTATTAACAACGATCTACTCTTCATTTCAAATCCTCGTTACTTCATGTACTATTCATAATTTTTTTGAATGTATGAATGTGTTTTTTTCTTGAATACGTAATACAATCCAGGAGAAAGTTTTGTTATCACTGCATGTACAGTGTGTGCTGTCTAGCAGCTCAAAGTCGTTTCGGGCCATCAAATCTATGAAGCGTTAAGACTGAATTGCTCAGATTCTCTTTCAGTGTGAATACATGGTAGCTTCTTTGATCGAATTTAATTAATGGAACAAAATAAAGAGTAGATAACTCGTACATTTTGCAAAAATCAAGAGAAGTGATACATAGCGCGATATGACAGGAGAAAAGTTGCCATCGAGATAAGTATTCATTCAGTATTCAAACTCTCGAAGACAAAAGAAAACGCAGCACACGGTACATAGCGCAACGTGACAGGAGAAAAATTTCCATCGAGATATGTATTCAGATCCTCGAAGACAAAAGAAAACACGGCGTATAACACCTGAGGAATTTTGTGTCCAAAGATCACCATAAAGGTAAACACAACGGTTACGATGATTCCCCGACATGCCAAACTATATGCACTCTTAAGAACCGGATTTCGTCATTTTTTGGCAAGAACAATCAATAAGCAAACAACCAACATCTATCAATAGAATAATCAGGGCTTCTTATACCAAAATTGTGTCACCTCATTAATATAGAAAGCTATTTGTTTGTGTACAAATAGCCTGCTATTGCGAATCGGAGAAGCAGAATAAATATGGACTGGGCTATATAAATTGTGAAAACAAAAAACAGTATGCATTACATGTTATTCATTCAGGAAGCGCATCCTTGCTTCGATATCGGCCGCTTTGAACTCTCGCCTTTCGACTTTTCTGTACTCCCTTGTTGTCGAATGAGTGTTCGGTGAATCATTGTTGTAGTACATTATAGACGCCTCTTTGACTTGATTAGGATTTTCTAGAAATTTTGACACAAAATTCAAAGATGTCACACAAATACAGTTAGCTCTTAAATAGCAAAATAGCAGAACCACAATAACGATGAGATATTTGCAAAACTCCGGACCGTAGGCGTCTGCAACGGGGATCGAACACGCCATTACACTTTCGGGGTTAGCGAGTTCACCTTCACACAATGCGGATCCTTCGTTTCGTTTGTTTCCCATTCAATTTTCTATCTACCAGTTCCATCAGCAATCACTCGCCTAATTTAAAGTAGTAGATTTTCAAACACAGCGTCCTACCGCTTTTTTACTTTCAGTGGGCCTAGTAACTTTCATTTGTTCTCATCGGGCACTATGTTCACACGAGAGACACGAAAAGAATAATACCTTTGCTGTTGATGATTCCTTTTTTACTCTTTGGTCGGAAAGCAACCACGGTAAATTGGTCGAATTTTACTGTCCTGTAGGATTGTTTATTATAGGACTGATAGAGTAACAGTTGTTCTATATAAAATTGTAAACAACCAGGTCAAAACAGCTCGCATTTCTCCATGGAGCGCATTAATACATATATGCTCATACCTATGTTTAAAAAATTTTATCTTAGATTGTATTTAGAAATTTCTCATAAAACTCACCGCAAAAACGACGAATTCCACACGCGATCATAACACAAAAACAGAAGACGAGAGCCGCAAAACAGAGCACAAAGATCGACTTGACCCAGAGAGGGAGATACGAGATGAACTCGCGTAACGGCATGTCGCATTCGAAGGTACCTGCAGGGTTCCATTTCTCAACAAATTTACCAGCGAACTAAGACTCCCGCGTCTATGTAGTTACCCTCTTCAGTGAATCCGCAGGTTTTCAGTCGTGGTTCTAAAATTTCGTTCTCTACTCGTGATATCGGCACCAGTGTCCATCTGGGGTCTCTTTGGCTTTCTTTCAATGGATAATTCAAATACCCACCGTGTACCACACCGTCACCTAATCTGAACAAGATCGGTTAGCGGAACGCTTTCACAACTTGTCATTGCTTGCTTTGCTAGGTTATATCTAGTCAACCCACTATAGACCAACAATATCGCGCAGTACATTAAGTCCAGAACTCCACCTTTCTAATATTTACCTGAAATCAATATTTTGCTGGACTTGTTCTGGAGATAATGACGCGGTGATGTAGTAAGGTGTGTTATCGTAGTCGGACGCAGCTTTATCAGCTAGCTTTGCAATGTCAATGGAAGAGAAATCAGACTGTCGACTGTCCACCACCAACAAGTATCGCCTATAAAGGGCTCGATACTCTGTGCTACACAGGAATATGTACAGTATCTACTCACCAAACTCCTGGCGAGATAGGCACGTTTGCGCTTGATATGTCTACTTCACGCATAAACTCTGTATTTCCTATATTATCAACAAAGTGTAACGGTGGATTTATTGAGCAGACCCTCTCAAGGAGGTTCCATGGTCTGAACATTGGCACTTTAAAAGGCGATTTTAAAGAAACTGGTCAAATAAACCAGACTATGATATTACTAATCAAAAAGCGACGTATAATCAAACTATGATTCCAAAAAAAGAAACACTGGAAAAGAAATTTGGTCACACGAATTCCTGAGTTGTTCGTCAGGTATGGCTCTTTCTATTTGCTACAATTGCTCGTTGGGCTCACTTTGTTCGAACGGTGGAAAAAATATCATACTTTTTTTCTTTGAATCTTTAAGAATATATCTCAACAGCGCTGGTCTTCCAAATATTTCTTTCAGACTTGATGCACTCAAGTTACTCGTCCTCACATCCAGCACTGATTAGTTTTAAACAGCACAAAAGTGATTTTCGATTATCCAATACTGCGATTTTCATTGTTGTAGTAAAACGCATGCGTGTACTTATTGATTTTACATCCAACCTCTCATCCAACACTGATTCATTATCCATTGATTATTATCCAGGTTTAATCATCCAAGTTTTATAGCGCGTGAAACACAGTGGTCAGAGGCGCCCTGCAACACACATGTGGAATCGATCTCCGCACCCATGGCCCACCAAGCCTTTCATTCCACCGGACTCGGTATATTGGTACAAGACCTATTTGGGAGGATAGCATCACTGCCTCGATACATCGGTAAAACACCGCGAGTATTTCTGAAGGTTTAATTACCCAAGTTTGAGCGTATAAATCGGGCTTTCGGCTTCTACGTCGTCCTTGAGCGTAGGAAGACTGAGCGAAGGATTCGTCGCCGAAAACACACCTCCCTCTGATCCACATGGTGGTGAGGACCTAGATACGCCCTTACAAGGTTACGTCAAGACTCCAGGGAGGACCAAGTTGCACGACAAGCAATAGGCCAGCCTCAGGACCCCGCACACTGGGTGATCCTGTCCATGACGTCAGGCGGTGAGAGGCCACAAAATCTCGAGTTACGCAGGACGTCACTGGAACCGGATCTGACGAACACACGCACGACACGCCACGGAGATTGTTTCTTACTATGCAAGCACGTTTAATGCCAGCACACTCTCCATAGACGCCGATCTTCACGCCCTTCTTGTAGCCACAGATCGCATCAAATTTCATGTAATCGCACAACAAGAAACAAAAATCAAGATAACCGACATGCACCAACTAAACAACGTAACATTTTCGGTCCCTGGAGAAAAGGTACCGTCACGAAATGTCGGCGTCGTAGGCTTTGTCGTCCACCCGTCCACTGCCCATCTCGTCAACTCATGCGTGATCCTTTCCCCTCGCATAGCCGTCCTCCGTCTTCAACTGCTGCATCATAAGAAGATCACTATCATCAACTGCTACTCACCGACCAACGCAGCTGATGAGTGCGAATTAAATGCGTCCTACCATCAGTTGAATTCATCCGAAATAAAAAATCTTATCATAAATTTGTTGTTGGAAACTTCAACGCCAGAATAGGAAAGGCCAACGAGAGCGAATACAGGATCGGAAATTTTGGATTAGGAGAAAAAAATGAGAATGGTAACGGTCTCGCAGAACTCCTGTCAGCAACACGTCTTTCCATGGAAACTCGTTTTCCCAGAAGAAAGAAAGCCGCCACTGGACATGGGAGTCTCCCAACGGCATGACTCATGCGGAGATCGACCATATTCCACAAACAGAAGGTGGTGTCTACTTGACACATCGGTAGTCCCGTCATTCTGTACTGGTTCCGATCACCGCCTTCTTCGTGCGAAGATTCGATTCAGCCGCAAGCTGGAAAAGAACTCCCTTCATCGACCACGAGGAGAAAGTCTAGCTGTATATGACGAGAACATTCTGAAAGAAATCCTGTCCAAACGTGACTGGCAGATTAAAGAAGACCTGACCGAAGACTACGAGCTGCTTGTCGAAGAACTGAAAAGTTGTGTAGAGTTAGCTCCAGTTCCTCAAGCAAGAAGATCGGATCGCATCTCCATCACTACTAAGAAGTTGCTCGAGAAGAAAAGGAAATTGAAGCTTGATCCTACTGAAACACGTTTAACATGGATAGTAATAAACGCCAGCTGCCGAAAAGCTTTGCAGGAAGATCTACAACGGTACAAGCAAAAGAAGAATACTGGAAGCAGCAGAGAAAAGAAGCAGTCTGAAAAAATGCCGTTGGGACTTGTGCGATTATAACGTTCCGCTGTCAGCCTGATGAACGAAAACGGGATCACAATCTTAACCCTTTTATTTACTGCCTTTTTCTTTTTAACGGCAGGGTATGTTGCGAAATATAACTCGAATATAATGCTGAGATATTTGCAAAACTCCGGACCGCAGGTGTACGCAGTGGAAAGTTGAGAGACAGGCAAAACGAAGGACCCGGATGGTGTGGTGGTGAAGTGTGCTGCTCCCCGGTAAGGACAACAGTGCGTGTTCGTTCCCCACCGCATACAACTGCGGTCCGAAGATGGGATCGTCAAAACTTCCCGCCATGATATGGAATTAATAGCGGAAACGTTCTACACCAACTTTTTCCGGTCCACAATCCCTTTGCCGGGCCCTAATATCCCCACTGGAGAAAAGCCACCTGGAATTCTTCCGTCGGAGGTTTGAGCTACGATAGAAAGCATGAAAAGAGAAACAGCAGCAGGACGAGATAATATCACTGCCGATTTCCTTAGAACTGGAGGCCACAATTTACATGTACTTCTCGCAAATCATATGACAGGTTACCTTCAAAAGGAGAAAATCCCAGGCCAATGGAGGACGTCGCGCACGGTTATCCTACCCAAGAAAGGAGACCAAGGGGATCCTCGCAACTATCGTCCCATATGCTTGTTAAGCGTACTCTACAAGCTCTTCACGAAGATTATCCTCTCGCGGGTATCAAGGACATTGGATGAGACGCAACCCGTCGAGCAAGCAGGATTTTGAAAAGGATTTTGCTGCATGGACTACATCCAAACTGCGTCCAGGGTCATCGAAGTTTGTCGAGAATACCACTTTCCTCTAGTCTTAACAATTGTCGACTATGAGAAAGCGTAGTAATTCCCATGACCGACTTTCTGTTAACCTCGGCATTAATTGATAATTCATAAATAATCGATTTATCAAGTTTTATCTGCTAGGGTTATGAAAGTGTTTGGCTGAGTAGATCGCATCTCAATTTGACCTTTCCAGGCTCTGAAGAAGGCGAAACCGCCGAAACGTCAGCAATTGTGTTCTAATAAATTCTATATTAACAACCTCGTGTCTGCTTATTGATGAAAAACATTGAATTATGAGAAAGCGTTTAACAGTGTCGAAACGGATGCAATGCTATCAGCGCACGTCGACCAAGTAGTGGACCCGTCCTACATAAGGACTCTGTCCGACTGTTATCGGAACTGCACTACGAAAATACAGCTTTTCCATCGAACTCCTACAATACCCATACGAAAAGCGGTTCGACAGGGAGACACAATATCGCCAAGGTTGTTCACTTCCGCATTGCAGTGGATAACGAAGTCACTCGATTGGGATGAGAAAGGCATACGTATTGATGGAAAATTCCTATCAAACCTTCGTTTTGCCGACGACATTATCATCTTTTCAAGAAGTACTAGCGAAGTAGAGGTGATGACCAACGAGTTCAATGAAACGGGGAAAAAAGATGGGATTTCGTATAAATCGGAACAAGACCCAGCTCATGAAAAACCCATGGTGCGAAGGCGAAAAAATTGAATTGGTTGACTTTTTCATTGCAGAGACCACCTCATACGTATACCTTGGGCGATTAATGAACATAGAAAACAACACGGAAGAGGAACTAGATAAAAGGAGAGCAGCTTGGGCCGCATTCGAGCCTCTCAAAGAAGCCACCGACCAGCTGAAGGACAAGAAAATCCACGCTCAACTCTTTGATTCTATGATCCTCCCAGCGCTCTGTTATGTGCAGAGACGGGGTTGATACTTCAGCTACTTCAAGAATGCCTCACACTACTCACAGAGGGCTTGAGCGATGTCTTCTGAAATATAATCGGCGCTCTCAATATGTAGCCGGAATGCGAAGCTCTGACCTTCGAAATCTGTTACATCTTCGAGATCCTGGAGGGTATACATCGACAGCGAAACATAGATGGACCAGTCACATAATGAGAACAACAGACGACAGATGGACGAAAAGAACAGTAGAGTGGACTCCAAGAGAATGTAAACGCCCCTTGGACGACCACTTACATGTTGAGCGGACGTGTTCGTAAACAAAGTTAATCAGCTGCACTCCCAGCTGCAGTTGTTTTACAGATTACGGTATGAGACTCGCAAGCGCTACCATGCTCGAACAGGACAACCACCATGGACTACGATTGCGAGAGAAACGAACGAATGGCATATGTGCTGGGGTCCGCACAGCTCGTGAAGACGGACCGTCCAAGTATCCAAATAAGTAAGCAAGTATTTATTGAACACACCATATAAAATGATTTCAAACTTATAAGAAGCCCCTTTAGCTTATAAGCTCATCAAAGAAAAAGTAAATATTGAAGTGAAATCAGTCAGGAAAAACGATTACGAATTTACTTGCCTCGAGAAGGCCGGTTTTATCGCGAATTCAATCCCCAACTTTGCACTTAAGAAAGCGTCACAACGCTGCAGTTAGTCGCAGTCGCGGTCCCAGAGGAGACAAATCGCTTCGAATCCCCGTGATCGCTCAAATTTTCGCGACAGTCAAATGGTAAACACAGTCAGGATTTGAAAAGCTACTCTGACTATGCCACAGTGCCCAGGTGACCTAAGGGTATAATTCTCGGATAGGATTCACAAGGTGATTTGACCAGACTTTTACTACGGTTATCCGGTGACTTGAAGCTCAACGGCTTTTCCAGCTCCAGTGGAAATATACTTTTTCGCATCGCAGTACTGGAAGATGTTGCTATAATTTCTAACAGAATAAAACCTTAATTGCGTCTCATACAACTTTGCAACATAGAATCAACATAAGTTAGAAAGAAATAAATTTAAAGATTCCTGGAATTGGTTAAGACCAATTCGAATACTGA